GACGGAGACCACGACCACGACGACCACGACGGGACGACGACGACGACGACGACGACGACGACGACGACGACGACGACGACGACGGGAACGGGAACGGGAACGGAACGGGAACGGGAACGGGAACGGGAACGGGAACGGGAACGGGAACGGACCCCTGGGGCGTTCTCTTTTTTTCACGGGGACCCCCCCCCAAATCGACAGGACTGGGCGCCCGAGGTTTGGGGAGGGGGAAACATCCAACATGCCGATGAACCCCAATGGGTCGGCGGATATAAACGCTTGCAGCAGTTTCAATGATGGAGGGCGGGCCGCTTTTTTAATTGGGGCTTTTGGGTTGAAATCCGCCCGTCGTAGGTCGAGGCAGGCGCGTCTCTCGACACACGGTCCCCGCCCAGCGCCCCGAAGAGTCCGATGAGCCAGTTGCTGGGCCCCCGCACCCCACCCCACGCTGCCCTGGTTTTTGGTGGCGCGCAGAGTCCGAAGGAGGAAGCACTGCACAAACACAAGCTTTCGGAGCTCCGCGCGGATTTCCAGGATCTGCGCTGGGCCTCCCTCCCTTGGCGCGCGGAGCGCGCCAGGGGCGGCGCCAGAGGTGCCGCCAAGGGGGGGCCAGCGCAGATCCAAGAGATGCGCGCGGAGCTCGGAGAGTTTACACCTTAGGCGATGCTTAAGAAAACCTAAGTTTTCGGCCAGAGTCTCGATTATTCTTAGTGTTTCAATGTAAATCCTAAGATTTGAATGGAAATGTTTGGTTTTTATTCGAGTTCTGAGACCATGAATTTCTTAACCCATGATTTCTTAAGCATTTCGCAGGGTGTATGTCTGTTTGTGCCGTGCTTTCGTCTTCGAATTCTGCGCGCCACCAAAAGGAAAGACTGGTTGTTGCGGGGGGGTGCGGGGCGAACCAGTGGTGGCGCCACGGGGTTGCGGCGAGACAGGCGCGCCTCGCGCCTCGCGCCTCGCGGTCTGGGCCACAGCGGCTGCCCTGCTCCATGGGGATGGCGCGAGGGAATCGCGCATCGCGGGGCGCGATACGCGAGATGAGGTGACCCAGATGGGAAATCACGACGCGACGAAATCACGACAAGACTTCTCGTCAGCGGGCGTTCCCTGCAGAGTCCATGCCGATTCGCTCCGTCCGTTTCGACGTCGATTCCAGCGGGTCCGATCCAATTCGATTCCGATATTCCGACGATCCGATGGTGCATACTGGCGCAGCCGATACGAGTCGATTTCAATTCCGTGCCAATGCAGCCCGATCCGATGCACATCTCGAGTCGATCCGATTTCCCGATTCGGTACTGACTGATATTACCCCTGGGATCACGGGTTCCCCAGGCGGTGGATATGGATACGGCAGGTTCGCGTCGTGTCGGCCAGCGTCGACCCTGCCGCCGGCCTTCAACGTTGAATGCCACCAGCGACCCAGTATCGGTCGATGTTGAACGACCTGACGCTTCGGAAACGGCCGCCGTTCCAGGGCGAACGATCCCGGTGGTACGCTGAAGTCGGCACGACACGAACCCGCCGCAGACCCCCTCCCCCCCCCGAGGAGTGCGCGCCGGACAGCCCTGGCCGGCCGTCGTCCGACGACGGCGGCGCCTTCTGGGCGCCGGCGCCGGAGTCGTGCCTGGGGCTGCCTGCCTCGCGCTGGCCTGGCGCCGGCGGGGGCGAGGAGGACTCGGGCCTCTAGAGAGCGAGAGAGAGGCCTCCTGGCGAGGGAGAAAAAAACGGTGACCATGGCCACGTCGCGGGATCTTGTCGATGTCGATGTTGGCCATGGTCCACATGGGCCGTCACCCATCTCGCGAGGACGATCCACGAGTTGACGCCGACCAAATCGACGGTGACCAAGATCGACACGACGTATCCGCGTTCAGTCTTGGTCATTGTCCCCGTTTTCTTCCCCTCCATCCAGAGAGGGAGTGGAAGGGGGTAAAGAACCAAGGCCGCTTCGCGTCGTGAAAAAATCGCGGCGGGAGGTTTGTCGTCGTTTTCGGCCTCCAGGGGCCTTCGCCGGGCACCGGGGCCGTCGAGAAACGGCTCGGGCTGAAAAGCGGGTCCTGGGGAATGGGTCGAGACCTCCAGGGAACCACAGTGTGAAAACACATGACGTCGGGGGTCCCCTGACTTCGGATCTGCCGTGCTTTGGGCGAGTTCGCGAGTATGGTGGACTTTTCAGGCTTCTTTGGCGTCGATTCCCCCCCCCCACTTAGCCGTCGCTGTTTTCGCTATGCCTCTGCGGAAATATCTGCCCTACCTTCCCTGGGGGTGAGAGTTCCGCTGCCTGTATTCGTGTCGCACTTTTTGGGCGTGCATCTCCGACGCAATCGGAAGTCGGCAAATCGACCAACGTGCGGCGGATCTGAAGCCAGGGGGCTAGAGAGGGAGGCATCCAGAAAGACCGCCAGAGATCATGAGGTCCTGGCGTCGCGATTTTGGGCCAGGCCCTGCGAGTTTCGCCTTGTGTCGGGCCCCAGGGCCCTCGCGGGTCGATCTGGCTCGAAAGTACAGCGGGAAGATGCGGTCTCCAGGGCTCTGGTCGTGAATTCTACAACGTTGCGATTATGCCCGTGACGTCGGATCGTATGGGGGAGAGAGGCAGAGAGAGAGAGAGAGTGTGGCACAAAAAATTAGCTTGGCGAAGGACCCAACCATGTGCAGTTGTGAGTAACGCAGTTGTGAGCATCGTCTTCGGTGGAGCTCCCTAGTGTGCCACGAAGCGTGTGAAGTGTGTGCCGAAGTGGGCGGGGGGACGCATGCGGACACCGCCACCGGGGCCTTCGGTGGAGCTGCCTAGGCGGCCGCGAAACGTGTGAGGGGTGTGCCCACATGGGCGGCGGGGACGCATGCTAACACCGCCACTGGGGATGGGGCCGCTCAGGGTGTGCGACATGGGCGGGGGGGAAGCATGCGAACGCCGCCACGCGGGCCTTTGGTGGAGCTGCCTATGGGGCCATGAGACGTGTGAGGGGTGTCCCGACATGGCTGCGGGGGACGCGTGTGGCGACTGCCACTGGGGCCTTTGGTGGAGCTTCCTATGGGGCAGCGTCACGTGTGAGCGACATGAGTGCGGGGGACGCAACGAACACCGCCACCGGGGCCTTCGGTAGAGCTCTATATGTGGCCACGAAACGCGTGAAAGGTATGCTGACATGGGTGCGGGGGACTCATGCCACTGGGGCATTCGGTGGAGCTTCCTACGGGGCAACGAGGCGCATGAGGGGTATGCCGAAATGAGTGCCGGGGACGCATGCGAGCGCTGCCCCTGGGATCCTCGGTGGAGCTCCTTGCGAGGGGTGTGCCGAAATTGGTGGGGGACGCATGTGGCCACCATTGCCCCCGGGGCCTTCGGTGGAGCTACCTATGGGGCCACGAATCGAGTGAGGGGTGTGCCGAAATGGTTGCGGGGGACGCATGTGGCCATTTTTGGGGGCATTCGGTGGAGCTCCCCATGGGGCAACGTAACGTGTGAGTGTGTGCCGAAATTGCTGGGGGGCCGCAGGCGAAAACCGCCACTGGGGCCTTCGGAGGAGCTGCCTATGGGGCCACGAAACGTGTGAGGGGTGTGCCGAAATGGGTACGGGGACGCGTGTGGCGACTGCCACTGGGGCTTTCGGTAGAGCTCGCTATGGGACCACGAAGCGCGTGAGGGGTGTGCCGAAACAGATGCATGCGGAGGGCAGAGGCAGGGATCGGAGATAATCGTTTTCTTTTTCATTGTTGTGCCGATCGGCGCGGGCCCTCGCACCTCCTCCCCCCCCATGGAGTAGATCTTGGCTGCTTGGGGCGCCTATTTCAAACAGGTAGAGCCTCCCCCAATGGGACGCACTGTTGCAAACAGTCGCATTAAGCACAGGTCTGGAGTCAGACCCCCCCCCCTCCGCCCAATGCCGAACCGCCGAATAAGAAAACGTTCACGAGGAGGGAGGAGGGGGAGGAGGAAGGAGGAACGCGGGGCGCTGTCTTTTCAAAACGAGGACCCAACAACCACAGGATGGCTGGGTTGGGAAAACGAGAGGGAGTGGAGAGGGCCCGGACTGCCAGGAGGTGCAGCCCTCGACGAGGGCCCAGAGAGAGAGGGGGGGGGCGGAGGGGAGGATCAAGGCTGAGGAGGGTCCGCCTCCTCCTCCTCCTCTTGGATGTTTCGAAAGGTCAGACCAGCAGGCGTCGCGAACAAGTCTTGGCACTTCGACAGCAATTGTTTGGGGCATATCTCTCGGCGCTCTCTCGAGGTCACCCCTGGGGGGCGCCAACATAACTCGCGCTTCTCGCGCAGCGCGGCCTGGGGGCTTGAGGCGCGCTCTTCTCCGGGGCGGCGGCGCGAGGGCGCACACATCGAGGTGCGCGGTGCGCAAAGTTGGGTGTCCCAGGCCCCAGGCCCTTGTTGATTCGAATAGGGGATCGACTACCAACTACAGAATTGATTTACCCCAGAATTGATTTCCCCGCCGGATATGCGAAACAAATACGCATCATGTCCCGCAGGTCCACGAACATCCTACACGTTTCTTGTATCGAAGACGCCTACGGCGAATCTCCCCTGCCTTTTAGAATCGCCCATGTGGCCGAGCGTTGTGGCAAGAGCTCTGCCAAGCAACCGGACCATGTGTTCCCCCCAGCCGTTGTGGAAACCCATCGGGGAACATTTGGGGGAGGATGGCGGGGAATATCACGAGGAGGAGGAGGAGGTGGAGGAGGAGGAGGAGGAGAAGGAGGAGGAGGCATCTTGGGAGCCTCTGGGGGCACTCTGGGGCCTCCTGGGAACTTTCTGGGGGCCTCTTGGAGGCATCTTGGGGGCCTCCTTGGGCCTCTTGGGGGCCTTTGGGGGCTTCGCGAGGGCCTCTTTGGCCGTCTTCGGGCATTCGTGGCCCGTCCGACGCCGTCGGCAGCCGTCTTGGGTGGGGGCCTCTCTGGGCTGACTTAGGGCCCTCTTGGGGTGCTCACGGCCATCTTGGAGGCCACATTGGGCGTCCCGGAGGCCTCTTGGGCCGTGTTGGGGCCCTCTTGGGGCCGTCCTGGGAACCTCTTTTGGGCCGTTCTGGGGCCATCTTGGAGGCCTCTGGGGGCCTTTTGGGCCGTTCGGGCGCCGCCAAGGAAGGGGAAGCCCAGCGCCCTCCAACAGTTTGTATCCTTATGCCGTCTTTTCATCTTCCAGTCCCCCGTTTGCGGGGGCCTGAGGGGAGGGCGAGGAGGAGTGCCAGCTGTCTCTCACCTCTGTTTCCCTTGCGGCACGTACTGCGCGTCATGTCGGCACGCTGCTGACCTTGTTTGTGCCATGAGAGTAGTCTGCACGCCGATGCCACCGCCAGAGCCATCGAAGTCCGCCTCGCGTCAATCGGCGGCGAGCGAAGGGAGGAAGCGAGAAGGAGAAGGCCTTCTGAGAAGCTTCATGTGTCTTTCACCACCCACCACACCACCCCAACCCAACCCGAAGGCTCAGATTTGCCCTCGATTTCCAGTTGGGGGGGGGTCGGGGAACATCGAGAAAACACATGTGGAACCCTTACCCCCCCCAACCCGAAATTCGGGTCTTCGGGTTGGGTTGGGGTGGTCTGGTAGGTAGTCAGTCTTCGGGGAAGGCTTAGAAAGCTTCTGAGAGTGTCGGGGGACTCCCGAGCCTTCTGAGACGGCCCGCCCCCTCTCGCTTCCCCCTGGGCTCGCCGCCGAGTGAGGCCCCAGCGAGCGGCGGGCCGAGCGGGGGGTTCCCGAGGAGGAAGAGGCTCCCGCGTCGCTATATACCCCCCTCCTCCTCCTCCTCCTCCTCCTCCTCCTCCTCCTCCTCTCCTCCTCCTCCTCCTCCTCCTCCTCCTCCTCCTCCTCCTCCTCCTCCTCCTGAGGAGTGCCAGCTGGTCGTGGTGAACACCTTCCTGACGATCCTGGAGAGCAGGCCGGAGCAGCTTCGGCGCTCGGCATCCACGCCGCCCGGCAGGTGACGCCGTGGCGCGCGCTGCGGTGGGCCCGTGCAGGGCGCTCAAAGCGCGCCCCAGGTCTGCCCGCACGGGCGCGTGGCTTCGGGCCAACGTCAGGGGGGGATGGGCTCCAGGGGGGAGGTGCGTCGCTCGACGTTTCCAGGTTCTCGCGCGTTTGCGTCGGCTCCCGGCCAAAGAGCAAGCGACACCACCCCACTTGTGGCCCTCCATGCTGCGCTACGGCCCATCGGGGGTCGTAGCGCATACCACGCAACAACCCACGCCAGATTTGTCGGTACACGCTAAGCCCCGTGGGGGCGGAGGTGGGGTGGTGTCGTTTGTTTTTTGGTCCACCCTCGGCGGTTTACCCGCATCGGGATGTCCTCTAGCGGCTGTGCCTCACAGAGAGGCGTTCCTGGGGTGCCCAGATCGTCCCGAACGGCCGCCAGAGAGCCGAGTTATGACCCGAAAGCCAGAGGCAATGTCAGGGAGAGGCTCAGGGGGGGGACGCATCGATCCCCAATCGCCCATCTGTCACCGACTGGTGCTTTATATCCCAGCCTTCCTAGAACCGTGCGGATTTACTATCGGGGGCCCATCGCCGATCTATCGGCCATGTATCGCCGATTCCAGGTCGACATTCCCCATGCCCTGAGCCATCCCCCACTGTCGTTGTCCCTCAGTCGCAAGAAGCCCAGGCACACGCATGCAGTTTGCAGAAGCGTTTTGCATGCTCCAGCATGCTGGTATCTCGGTGGGGAGGGGCGAGCTGCAGGCAAGCAGAGGAGGAGGAGGAGGAGAACTAGTGCAAACCCAAGACTCATCAACGATGTTGATATACACCCTCCCTACAAGATCCCTCTTCATAGGCACCTACAAGGGGTCATTTCCATTGAGGGAATTGCCCCGTTGGGGGACAACCGTGTGAACATCTTGAAGCTAGCCTGAACATGATTCTCAGGATTTCAACGCCACGAGTTAACATGACTGTTACGTCTTGGCGACCTTGGATCGCACCAGAGCACCATTCCTAGGACTTCAGCACCGCGACTCAACGTAAATGCTGCGCCCTGACAATCCCGAACCGTTACAAAACACACTTTTCTGGTACGTCGTTGACCATGACAATCAGTTAAACTTTTGTACATGTTAAAACGAACGTGCGCGGCGCTCAGGCGAGAGCCACACGTTGAAAAGGAACCGCCCTCGATCCATGAAACTCTTGCAAATGTTTAACACGATGCGCGGCGCCAGCACGATAGCCAAAATTTGAAAACGGCCCGCCCTCAATCCGTGAAGCTGTTGCAAATATCTGAAACGAATGTTCGCGGCGCTAGTGCGAGAGCCACAGTTTGAAAACAAACCGCTCTCAATAGAAGCTCTTGCATTCTAAAAATGTGCGCGGCGCTAGGGCGAGAGTAGCATTTTGGAAATCACCCGCCCTCAACCAGCGAAACTATTGCAGTTGTTATCACATGTGCGCGGCACTAAGGCGATGGCCACATTTTGGAAACGATCCGCCCTCAATGCGTGAAACCCTCACGATTGTTTGAAACGAAAGTGCGCGGCACGAAGGCGAGAGCCACATTTTGAAAACGACCCACCCTCCATCTGTGAAACTGTTTGCAATGTTTCAGCATCAGGGTCATACATGGTGCGAAAGTCTCACGCGAAACGCCGGGCCTGCCCTTTCGACCGGCCTCGGGGTGCGAGAGGGAGTAGTGTTCTACGGGGAAACGGAACCTAGGTGGGGGAGGAGGAGGAGGAGGAGGAGGAGGAGGAGGAGGAGGAGGAGAAGGAGCAGGAGCAGGAGCAGGAGGAGGAGGAGGAGGAGGAGGAGGAGGAAGGTGGGAGGATCGAGGAGAGGAGGAGGAGGGAGAAGGAGGAGAAGGAGGAGGAGGAGGAGGAGGAGGAGGGAGGCGGAGGAGGAGGAAGGGGTGGGAGGATCGAGGAGGAGGATCGAGGAGGAGGAGGAGGAGGAGGAGGAGGAGGAGGAGGCGGCGGAGAGGCGGAGGAGGACGAGGAGGAGGAGGACGAGGAGGAGGAGAGGAGGAGGAGGAGGAGGAGGAGGAGGAGGGGAGAAGGAGGAGGAGGAGGAGGAGGAGGAGGAGGAGCAAGCCAGTAGTTTGCTATCGGCGAGCTGAAACGTCCAGGCTCAGAGGGGACCCGCAGTCCAAGCTGCCGATGGGTGCCGCCCGCCGCATCATGTCTGCTGGGCGCGAGGACAGCCGCGCTCTGCTCGTCACGGCTTGGGCCAGAGAGCCGCCCTCCTCCGATGGGGGAGACGGGTCATGATGTTTTCCGCCGTTTTCGGGTTCTCGGGGTCCTCCACGGGCCCCGGGATCGTCAGAAAAATACCCACGATGAAGACTTGTTCCTCAGGGAAGGGCCCCGGGGCCCAGGACCCGTTTTTCCTCAGAACCCGCTTCCCCCATGCTCAGGCTTGGGCCGGCGAGCCGCCCTCCTCCGAGAGTGCAGCGCGAAAGCGCGAAGATGGCCTGCACTCCGGCGGCGCGGAGATGGCCTGTGCTTCTTGCGTCGCTGCCAGGGCCGCTGGGTCATCCTTCTCCAGGGAGCGGCGCGAGGGCGGCGAAGCGTTCTGTGGACGCGCAGAGTTCGTGTTGTGTGATCTCTTGGGCTGTCACTTTGGCGGCGCACCGATGGGTGGAATGAGAGGGGGCAGGGCTTCTCAAAAGGCGGCGGGGCTTCTCAGAGGCCCTCCAGCGTCCTGGGAAGCCGCCCCTGTCTTCGCGGAAGGCTGGGAGAGCTTTTCAGTAAGCCAGAAGCCTTCCAAGCCTTCTGAGGTGGCCTTCCCCCCCCTGGGCGCGCCTTGGAACCAACGAAGGGCTGACCTCTTGAGCCTGACCCCCTGTGCCCGCTCTCCGAGCAGCCTTACAGAAATCCGGGTGCCTCAGTTTTGTGAGCGCCGGCCACTCCTTCTGCACGTGGTCGGGGGCAGCTAACACCGCAGGAGCTGAGATTCGTACCCTCTCTGGGAGATACGAGTGAGAGGTGTAGTGAGAAGATGAGGAGGAGGAGGAGGAGGAGGAGGAGGAGGAGGAGGAGGACGAGGAGGGGGGGATGGGGGAAAGGGGGGGGGGAGGACGAGGGGGAGGCGGAAGGTGAACGTCATGCAGGAGCAGTTGCTCATCCGCTGAACCCAACGGCCTCCCACAGCCCGAGGGGACGGGGCCACGGGAGAGAGGAGAGGGCAGGGCACGGGACCCCTGGCGGACTTGAGGGCAGTGGCCCTCCGCCAGCCTCGAGGGGAGCGGCCCGCGCGAGCGGCGTGCCGACATCGGCGTTGGGTTCCCAAGCTCCCTCCGACGGTCGGCCGCGCGCAGAGAGAGGGAACGAGTCATTATTGCATCGCTTCGCTCACTCCGCCGGCCCATATGGTGCCCTCGCTGGCGTTTTGGCCTTTTGGGGGGCCTTTTGGGGTCCTCGCTGGGGGCTTCTTGGGGGCCTCTTTGGGTTTCTGTTTTGGAGCCTCTTGGGGGGCCTCGTGAGGGCCTCTTGGGGGGCCTCCTGGGGCTCCTGGGGGCCTCTTGGCGCCTCCTGGGGGCTTCTTAGGGCCGAGGGCTCGAAATGTTGTGTCGTGATTCCCCTCGGGGGCTTCTCTTAGAGTGTTCTTGGGGCCCTCTTGGGCCGTCTTGGAGGCCTCTTGGGCCGTCTTGGGGCCCCGTCGGAGGCCTCTCGGGCCTCTTAGGGCGATCTTGGGGGCCTCTTGGGCCGTCTTGGGGCATCGCGATGCCGAAAAGAGGGAAACGCCAAAATCTCCTCAAAACCTAAGGAAAAAGGAATGAATGTTGCCTCTTGGGGTCCTCTTGGGAGTGTTCTTGAAAGCCTGGCGTCTGTGGGCTATCTTGAGCGCCTTGGAGCGATCTTGTGGCATCTCGGACCCTTGGTGTACCATCTCGGGGGCATACTGGGCGCTCTTGGCTCTTCTTGGGGTTTTCTCTTGGCCTTTCTTTGGGCTTTCGGGGACGTCTCGGGGCCCTGTTGGTGCGCTCCTGGAGCGCTCTGGGGGCTTCTCCCGGGACCTTGCTGGGGTATTTTTCGTCCGGGGACCCCCAGGGGCCTCCCGCGCGCGCGAATTAGAAATATTGTAAACCAGTTACCAGAGATCCACGCGAAGAGATGGAATGAGTCATTATTAACCTTCTCTGGAGCCCTCCACTCTTTTCCCTTGCAGAGTGTTGGTAGGGCATGGATCATTCGGAGGGACTGTCTCGCGCGCGCACACAGGCACACCACACCTTTACTTCGAGTAATGCCGCCCAACGGACTTACCCCGCCCAGTACTCACCAGCTCGTAGTGGGAAGTTAGCTTCTCGTGAGCTACTAGAAGAAAATTCAACCAGCAGAACAACCGATTGATATTACGGCACCTTTATATATCATGAAGTTACATAGGCAAAACCATGCTTTATCAGCCGAAAGTTCTTCCACGAGACCAGGAGGCACTCCCTTCGGGGACTGATGATGATGTTAGTAGCGCGCCAGAACATCCACGCGGCTTTCAAGAAGCGGCAGAAGTCGGCTTCCAAGACCCCGGGCGATGTCAGGGACCCGACACTACGCTCATCGCGGAGCGCGAGCATCAACATTCTTGTCTCCGCGCCCAGTGGCACGACCGGACGCGCCTAGGCCAGAAGATGATCTTAACAAAGACACAGGTCTTTTTCTTATCGATATACCTTCGGAGGAAGACGAATCAGATCCCTCCCCCCTCCCCGTTGACATCTGCCGCTAACCGCGAGACGCACGAGGAGGAAACTCATCGTCATACCGATGGTTTAGTCGAGCCACTCCGTCAGGGCCATGCAATCCCGTCCTGTTCGGAACTCGACGCTGCTGAAGATCCCTGCGATGATCCGTTCTCTGGGGACTTTTCGAGGACGCCGTCGGTGAAACAACGAAGGGACGACATGACTCTGTCAAGGTCGCCAGTGATCAAGCGGTTGAGAACAGTGAGCCTGCCAGAAGAATCGTGCACTTCCGGCTCGGGGATTAGCCGTGGG